TTCCCTCCCCGTCGACAGGGGGTCGCCAGTCTCTTGCACTGTTATTTTGGGGGTCGCGGGCTGAAAAGTTCGGGAACCCCTGGTTTAAAAGAATGAAAAATGTATAAACATATTGTTTAACAAAAAAAATGGTAATGCTTTTTAAAGATATTTTAGAGCATAATGTTTTAAACTTGTCCATAAACTTACGGCGGCTGTCCTGCGTGCGCTGGAAGCCGAGCTGAGAGTCCTTATTCAGGCCCATGCCCCACAGCTTGATCACATCTTTGGTCTGCGAGGCGATGAGCGTGAAGCCGTAACCACAAGCAGCCGACGAGATCTACCACAGAAGAAGAAACTTTATTATTGTAACACCTCCCACACTTTCTTTGTAATACTTACAGTGTCCTGTGCTAAAGATGAACACCTTTAAACCAGGACTCCAATATGTAAATGGACTGAACTCATATCGCGCTTATCCAGTCTTTAAGACCCCTCAAAGCGCTTTACATACTACATGTCATTCACCCATTCACACAGAGCAGTGCACCTTACTCTAGGACCTAACATTCACACAGAGCAGTGCACCTTACTCTAGGACCTAACATTCACACAGAGCAGTGCACCTTACTCTAGGACCTAACATTCACACAGAGCAGTGCACCTTACTCTAGGACCTAACATTCACACAGAGCAGTGCACCTTGCTCTAGGACCTAACATTCACATACCGTTGGCCATCGGGAGCAACTCAGGGTTAAGTATCTTGCCCAAGGATACATCGACATGTTGACTGCACCGGCTGGGATCAAACCCACCTTCTGGTTGAAAGACGACCGCACCCCCTCACAGCCACAGTCGCCCCGAATATGTATTAAACAATTAACAATTATCAATGACATGTTGTGTATTCTATCAAGTTAGTAGAGAAGCAAAGATGAATCCCAAACGTTTAAGTTAATTGGTTTTAGGAAGAAAAGTCCACGTGTGATTTTAGCTTCTTACATGTCAACACTTTCTGGTTTATTTTCAATTCAAGATTCAATGGTTTTAATGTCATATGCACAAAGCTACAGTTTAGAAATGGCAATGAAATCCTTCTGACCTGAGCTCCTCCAATGTATATAATAAAATACAAATAAAAGAATAGTGCAAGAAGTCTATATACAAGTAAATAGAATATGATATATAAGAACAGAATGTAAAATGTAATATTGAACAGTGAGATGAAATCAAATACGGTTAGATTTTCAAATATTTTTTGATTTGACTCCTCTGTCAGTAAAGTTAGACACTCAACAATATGGCTCCGGCGATGATGGCTGCCGTGTCTTTAGTGCATTGTTGGAGGAGCTCAGGTCAGAAGGATGTATTGCCATTTCTACACTGTAGCTTTGTGCACATGGCAATAATAATAATAATAACACACTTTATTTGTATAGCACCTTTCGTGCACAAAGCAGCCCAGAGTGCTTTACAGAAAACACAACAAGAATACTAAAATAATATTAAAATAAATACAGAACAAGATAAAACATCAACTGTGATCCTAATGACATTCCCTTGAATTAAAGCTGACAAGAAATTAAAATGGGTTAAAAAGCGCCCGCTCACCTACGGTCCGCAAACTCTGCTGACTCCTTCAAAAGTTATTTAAAGACATTCCTGTTTGGGCAGGCGTTTGGGTAACCTGTGTGCTTTTATTTGATTCAATTGTACCCTATGTTTTTATTGTGTTTTTAGGACTTCTTAATCAGTAGCGTAGCCAGGGATTATAGTGTGGGTGGGCCTGGAGAAATGTAGGTGGGCCAGGGGGAGACTTATTAAGCGTGGGGTCTGAGCTGAAACTTCATTCATGATTCTTTTTTTTTTTTTTAATGCACTAATTAAACATAAGCATAAACTAGCAGTGAAAACAAAAACATAGGCACGGCGGCCTCAGAATGTTAAACTGACATCCACATGACTGGCTCGGCGGCCACAGGTTGTTTATCCTTGACAGTCGCACAGTGGGCACACACTGAGAGTCTTTTCATATTCAGCACACGCTTCACTGCAGACCTCAAGAAGAAATAAGACTTTCATTCACTCACGGCAAAACTTACTTTACTTACTAATTTACTCACGGTAAAAAAAATGCACTCCCTATTCCATTGTCATGAAGGTGGAATCTAACTATATCCAGAATACGTTTTATTGGATCCAGGCAGGAAACATGTTTATTTCTGCTGTAAAGTTACATTTTAACATGGGGGTCTATGGGAATTGCTCCTTTCTGCATCCACCCCCTGTCGGCCACTAGAGGAACTGCAGTTTGTGGCTCTTCCTTCTGGGCTTCCCGGCTATGCCCCAGAGTTTGCCGCTTGTCAGGAACGTCAAAATCGATATGACGCGCTGATTGGCTGTGGGTGGGCGAGACGTGCATGTGGGTGGGCCCACAGCTACGCCACTGTTCTTAACACGTGGCTTGTGTGGTCATTTATTATTTTATGATTCCTATGATGTTTTAATGTTTTGTCAAGCACTTTGTGACTTTGTCTGCGCTTTATAAATAAATGTTACTTACTTAAAACCTTTGAATCTTTGAATACGGCCCTATATGACGCTCTTTAAAGCTGCTTTCACCTGCTCTGCTGTCTCCAGACGGTACGGAGTCAGCTGGTATTTGCGAGGTTTCTTCCTGCCGCTGTCCGGCACCACCAGGCTGGGGATCCCCAGAGCGCCGGTGAACGAGAAGCCCCAAACAAACACCTTGTGGCTGGGCTTCTTGTTGTGGCCGACGTACTGAAACACTGGACCAGAGTCGCTTCTCTCCCGCGGGCTGGAGGACTTACTGAGGGTCGAATAACCACAGACCTGAAGGCCTCTGGTGACGTGACGAGAGCAGAGACGCACACAGGGGAGAGCCATCCTGTAGGGAGAGGAAATACAGGGATACATATTGTTAAATCAATACAGCTTATTAGGGTTTTTTACTGAACATATTTCATTCCATTCTATTTCAATGCATATATTGCTTTATTTTACTATAATTTTAATATTATTATAGCGTTCTTAAAATAGTTCTCTGTGTTTTTTTTGTTTTTTTTGTACTTTTATGTATGCACCACGACACCAAGTCAAATTCCTCGTACGTGTCAACCTACCTGGTAATAAACACGTTTCTGGTTCTGATTCTTATAGTTAAATACAGTGAGGTGTTTTGGGCTGATTCATTGGTCGTTGTACTTGTTGAGTTTCTTTAGTATATTTACATTTGGTGTAAATAGGTAATAATATTTAATAATAAAGCTTTATTTGTATGTCACTTTGCATACACCAGGTGCAGCTCAAAGTGCTTGTTTTTATTATTTTTAATGTTCAATCGTTTTAACATGAGGGAGATTATTGTCCTGGTTTATGTTTTAATTGAAAATATATCAAAAGAAAGTATACTATTACTTGCTTATATGTGTCCTTGTTATGTATATAGACTTGTACAGTTGGTTTTCATTTGACACTGTGAAACAATCTGTAAAAATAGACAAATATTTGCAGACCTCTTGCAGAAACAACCAAATATATAGTACAATTAAAAAAATAGTCTTATTTAAATGTTTTTAACTGCATAAATGCACGTTTAGTTTTGATAAGCAGCTACATCTGTTCACCTGTGTATTGAATAGCTGAGATAAAATGTAACAGCACAAAACCCTGTACAAAAATCGAGACACAATATGCTGATTTAGTTTGATTAAAAGTTAAACAGATAATACTGAGAGATATTGACATTTTTCAAAGCCTCAGAGCCTATTAGTTAATTCGGCTTGATTCTGGTCCATTTAACAGCTGTATATTTTAATTAAATGTCACATGTGTACCTCCCCATTAGCAAGCTCCTTCATTACTGCTAATGCCACTTAACTGTCATTAGCAAACACAGGTCAAACGCCACATTTAGGTTAAAAATGATCCTATAACAAGTTGTTTGTGTATTACATTAATGCCGAATAAAATAGTGATTCCTAATCATTCGTTTAAGACAATGAGCCATGTTGTAGGTTCAGTAAAACAGCCACAATAACAACAGAAGTATTAAATCATCAGTATTATGATCGGAGTTTCACCACGTGTTCTGAGATCAATTTAACTTACCTTTACTTCCTGATCCAGGTTTAATAATGTGTTTAAAAGGTAGACAATCTAACTGTTACAATACAAAAAGCGATGTGAATCAGATGAAACTAGAGTTAAATATTTCAATGTCATTTTCACGCGTTTGTTTACCTTTAGTTAATCTGAGTAACCCGGATGTTCTTCTTTCTCATGTGCAGGAAGCACTGCGCCATCGACTGGACTGGAGGCTGTAATGCATGGATGTATAGTACTGTACACACACTATTATAATATATTTCACATTTAAAAATAATTAAAACAATACATAGAATTATATAACATATCCGGATATTTTATTTTTGTATCTTAAAGTGAAGCTTATTTTTATAAATCTTGTATAAAATGTATGTATTAATTAATTACATGTTAATTGTTAGACGCTTTTATCCAATGCGACTTACATACTCAATACTGAGGGCAATCCCCACAGGAGCAATTTGGGGTGAAGTGTCTCAGGGACACAACGACATGCTGACTGTAGTGGGACTCAAACTTGCTATCTGATTCGAAGATCAGCGCATTAACCCACTGCGCCACACGCCTCCCCTATTAATGACCGAATGATATAGGGAAAATCAAATGTCCAATCTGAGGTCTGTTGAAATATGCATCTATGTTATATTTGGACATTAACATTTTTTTTTTATTGAAATCTTGGCGAAAAAGCAAGTAGGCTATTTCTCACGTGTTGAGATACTTCTTTGAATAGAATAGAATAGAATAGAATATATCTGTATTGTCATCATACAAAGTACAATGACATTTATTTGGCAACTCTCACTGCAGTAAAAAATAGACACAAATAAATAAATAAATAGAGAGGTAAAAGCAGAGGTAGTAGCGATGACAGTGCAACGAGATAAAATTAAATGTCAATGCGCATATTTACACTTATGTACAGTCTAAAAACATTAAATGTATACAACTGTATAACAGTAGTGTATTTCTAACTGTGTGTTATAGGGTTATAGTACAAAGGATGCAAGTAAAATAGCCATATATATTTCTAAATAGTTGCAGTCTTTGAGGGGCGGAGGGGTTATGAGTCCAAAAAGGTTGAGAACTACGGGGTCAGAAAATGTAGATAAATTAACCCTTAGATGCCCGAGTGACTACACTCTTCCATAAGTGGGTCAAAAAGGACCCGTATTAGAATAATATGTGTTTTTATGCCATTTCTGTCATTTTGGTTAAGAAAAATAACTTGTATAATATTTAGTATTATATTTTGGTTCACACTAGAAATATTTTATATTTAATTTTTCACCATTTCTAATTTTAGACATTTTTTTTACATTTTGAAAAAAAACGTTTTGAACACATTGATGCAAAAATCTCCGCTATTCTGACACCCTCACAGTATTCCAGTTCCTTTTCAAAACTCATCTCTTCTCCTCTTGTCTACTCATAGCCCACCCCCATCAATCCATGCCGGTTGATCAAGTTTGATAGTCCCACCCTAACCTTCCCTTATATTGTAAAGCGATTTTGAGTCCTTGAAAAGCCCTATTCAAATATAATGTATTATTATTATTATTATACTGACAGGTATCAGATCTTGCTGTGTAAAATAATCTCCCTGAGAGGTGTCACTTGTGATGTCGTCTGTGTGGTCTACAGTGAATGTATTCCTAACAGCAACAGGTGATAAGAATCAAANGTTCCCAGAGGACCCCATAGGAAATGCATGCGGGTCATTTTTTGACCCACTTATGGAAGCTTGGGGTAGTAATACAAAAACTACAATTTCTTAAAATGTCAATTTAAAATGTGAATGGCATAATATCCAAAACATGTTTTTTGAGGAATAGCTGGAATATGAAATGATAAAAAAATGTAATTACAAAGATACTCTAAGAAAACCACCTCGCCGGGTCCAAAAAGACCCACTTATGGATCTAAGCGTTAAGAAAACGTTCTTCAAAGTGAAGTTGCTTTAAGTGTCCATGACTGACTGATAATCTACTCTGGTTTCAGATTAGAGGGACTGGAAGTTTAGAAGTGGGTTAATGCTGCCATCAGGGGATTCTCACAGGTCCCTCTCCTGCAGAGGGTTTGCAAAGCAACATGTCAAAAGCATATGACAGTCATTTGACGCCATCATTCATATAAATAACGATACATTTATAGAACTCGTGTGGAAACAATCAGAACATTTGGAGAAGAGCGGTTGAAAAAAATGCCCAAAAACTTTTTTTATTTAGTTGACATTTAAGAGTCAATACATCACAAAACGCTTTCAATACCCGATACAAAATAAACATTTTGTCCATTTTTTAGGAAGCTGCAGTCGGCCATCTAAAAGCAGGTATATCTGCAGAGAGACTTTAATCCTTTAAGAGGATCAGGTCTGAGACCCAGGGCGACGAGGTGAAGGACGCTCGTACTGTCTGTAGTGGCTGCACTTGGCATCTATCACACTGTGAGCATGTCTTTCATGTTTCAAATACGCTGATATTTTGGGCTCTTTGGTGAAAATATGGATATCAATAAACATGGAGGCCGAGGCTGCGTGCAAATGTTGGAGTAATGTTCTGCATGTATCCTGAATATTAGGACGGGGCGGAGGAGTTAAGGTAAGCTACAGTGTGAGTGTGCACACATTTGTTTAAAAAACTAGTCATAATACATTTAAACTGAAAAGAGGTAATTGGATATTGTACTCAAGTAAAGGCAGCAATACTAGATCTTAAAAAATACTCTGTTGCAAGATAGGCCCTGCATTCAAAATCTTACTGAAGGAACACGAGTATAAGCATCAAAATATACTTAAAGTACGTGCATTTTCTAGTCCCATTCTATGTAGAATTTAGTCGAAATCTGCGGACTCACAGAGACAAAGTTAGTCAAATAAAGATCCTAATGTATGTTGGCTGCTTTTATCCACCAGTGCTGTCCAGTGCATGAATAATAAATGGTCAACCTGCAGCTTGAATCTTTATATTCAACACAAATTGACCTTTTTAATCTGTATTTATTTTTGCTGTAACACACAGGCATCATGCTGGTGCTGCAGGTGTTCTGCAGCCTGATTGGCTGGTTCTGTCTCTACCTGTTGTTCTGCTACACCTTCGCGCAGCGGGGGGCCGAGTGGAGCTGCAGACTCGTCACTCTGTCTCACGGTGTCATCATCGTGCTGCTGACGGGATACGTCCTCTTCATAGACGGACCTCTGCCTTTCACTCATGCAGGTAAAGTATAGCCTAATTAAAAAAACACTAGATCTCCTTAAATATGCCACTATTTAAAGGTCACCTATTGTGAAAAATCCACTTCTTCATGTCTCCTCTACATCAACATGTGTCCCCTCTTCTCCATGTCTCTTCTACATCAACATGTGTCCCCTCTTCTTCATGTCTCTTCTACATCAACATGTGTCCCCTCTTCTTCATGTCTCTTCTACATCAACATGTGTCCCCTCTGTGGAAAGAGACTCTGAATGTTTCAGGAACAAAGATTCTCTCTCTTTTTGATCCATTTCTATAAAAACCTGTCTGAAAATGTTGGCCACTTTATGATGTCATAACGATGTGTTGTCTTGTGTAACCATTAGCCAATCACCAACCGGTACACCCCACCCCCCTCTTATCACCTGAATCTCCTCCTAGAGCACCATTGAGTTCTTTGTAACCAAATGTCTCTCAGAGGGGCGTGGGGAGGGGCTCCTTATTTTCATCTAAAGTAACAGACAGAGAATCAGCACTTTGGAAACAGGGCTGAAACAGAGGGGGTTATGGGTAATGCTGCAATGATCTGTTTGGTGTTTCAGCCAATCAGAGACAGGTTCTGGATATATCTGAATCCTGTGATATATTGATGAGAAACAGTTTAATAGGGGGCCTTTGAGTGACAATACCTGAAAAACAGCAATAACAAATTCAAGCATCATTGATGTCAGTATCTTAAAGAGGCCCTGTTATGCTTATTGGGGTTTGCCCTTCCCTGCAGTGTGTTATAAGTCTTTGTGCATGTCAATGCTAAAAATGTCCCTCCAGAGAGAGTTTATCTCCCACACACTCCCCATCACACAAAATTGACGCTCAAACAAATGTAAAAATTACATCAAAGTTTGAGGTAATTTATAAGTATTTAGGTATTTTCCTTCACATTAAGTGTTTTCATTACATCCAACCCTCCTCTCCGTCCCTCAGGTACAGAAAGCCTAATACACGCAAGCAGGCTTTTTTGGAATATATTAACTTTAGTTTAGACAGGACCTCAAAGTAACTTAAGTTTTGGGTTTGTAAATGTTCAGAAAATAGAGAAAAATTTATTCAAAATTACCCAGTGCTCCAAAGTGACACCTTCAAGATGTTCCTTGTCAAAACCTAAAATTATATATAATTAAAAAAAACATTCTACAAGCTGTTTTTTTGTACTTGTGTAATTTCATGACAGAAAACAATATTTTACAAGCTCTTCACATGTTATGTTGGCAAAAAGCTTAATTTATTGCCTTTCTGTGATCATTTTCTGTCCCCTGGTAGTCATTCAAGTAGACTTTATGGTTAATACATGTCTCAGGTGAAGCCGCCGGAGGAAGTTTTCACATCCAACCCTCCTCTCCGTCCCTCAGGTACAGAAAACACAGAGCTTCAGTCGGTCTCTCTGGCCGTCTGCCTCGGATACTTCTTCTTCGACATGTGTTGGTGCGTCTGCTTCCACACCGAGGGCCCTCTCATGCTCGCTCATCACGCCGGCAGCATCGTTGGGATCCTCCTGGCGTTGCTCATGGGCGTTTCCGGGTGCGAAACCTGCGGCGCGATCTTCGGCAGCGAGATAACGAACCCTCTCCTTCAGACCCGATGGTTCCTCCGGCAGCTCGGCCTCTACGATAGCCTGCTGGGCGACGCCGTGGATCTGCTGTTCATCGTTCTGTTCGCCACCGTACGCGTGGGAGTGGGTACGGTCCTGTTTTACTGCGAGGTGACTTCTCCGAGAACAACGCTGATAATGAAGCTCGGCGGCGTGGCCATGTACGCGCTAGCCTGGGTGTTCATGGTGGACATCGCAAGGTTCTGCTGCAAGAAAAGTAGAGCGAAGTATAAAAAGTGGCAGGAAAACAACAAGCTAAAACAAGCACAGAAAGTGAATGGAAAAAGTG